TGGGCAAGACACTGTAACCTGAAGCCCCTGCTGTAAGATCTCAGCTCCTGTGGACTCTCCACCTGCAGGAGGATCAGTGAGGGGCTGGTGCTCTCTGTACTGGGTGCAGCTCTGACTGCCACCCCCCAGACCCAGAAATGGATTGAGTGAAAGAAAATGGACGGATGGATGGTGTAGTGTGATGTTCATGATTTTCATTTGCACATTATTTATCCCCGTAGAATAACAGCAGTTTCCAGATCAGCTTTTGAGTCGGTCTTGTTTCAAGCTAACTGTAGTTCTGGAACAGTCTTTGGTAGTGTCACCGTCACTCGTAATGAAAATCTGCGTTTTGTTGCGGATTTCAGACTCGCGGCTACGAGGCAGAACCCCTTGAACAAAATGGATCCACATTCTTCGTCTCCGGGCCAAATACTCTCGTCAAATATTTACACCAACAACAAACATCAAGAAAAAAGCACATACTCTTGTTGACAGTATATGGACCACACGCTGGACTTGGAGAGAGGCTGTAGCTGACCATAGACGGAGCTGATTGGCCGGTTTAGTTTCTCCCTGCTGTCAATCACCTCTTGGAGAAGGGCTTTTGACGTCACGGATTGTTCCACGATTTGAAATGACTTGTTTCTGTGCCTCTTGAGAATGCAATGCGGCACTCTCCAACTGAAGCTTGACAGAATCAATGAAAAAAACGACTCTGGGCCAAATAGCTCGGTAATCATGTTTAAACCAGAGAAAAGTCAAAAAGCGTAAAATCTGAGCTTTAATAATCAAAAGTGAATTATTTTGGAGGAAAATATAACAAAACTAACCATGCTTTTAGTTTACTGATCAAAATTCTGCTCGCACAAATTGCAGCAAATGCGCCGGCCTGAAAACAAGTCGTATCTCGCCGTTTTCTAATGTCTGGAGTTAATTGTTGGGTCCGTGTTGCCGTCTTTATGAACTGCAGCTCTCTGGGGCCACATTAGGGCCTGTAGCTTTGCCTCCACACAATGAAAAAGTTCTGTGGAGTCGGTGGTTCGGGCCCTCGGAGCTCCCATTCCGGCCCCGTCCTCGGCTCCGGAGACACCCTCAACAGTTGTTATGACAGCGGGATGTGATTTATGTGTGAGCAATAGACAAAGTGCATCTTAGAGGAACAAATGGGACCACACGCCGGGTCTCTCTGCTTTTCGGCTGCTACCTGCCTGAGCCTCTGCATACACAACGTGCTTAACAAAACAAGATAGATTTGTTTTTAACCTTTTAAGACTTTTCCAGATTTTAGCTGTATGAATCTGAAATGCTGCCTCCCCATGCTTAGTTTTGACTGAGGAGCACAGGAAATTGGCTGAATGACAACACCTCAAAAGGTACATCAGTGTCATAAAATGTGGCACAATGGAAAAACCAATGGAAGTATCTACAAATGAATGGAATCAAGAGGTTGAGATTTATAACAGGGTATAACAATGCTCTATTGGTTGCGCTGAAGTTGGCTGGATGACACTATGAAATTGTTTTTATAATATCAATGGTACTTTGTAAGAGCAAGGCATAGGGCCACACATAATGACACAGTGGGCTGCAATTGATCCTCGGGCCTTAGTTTGGACATAATGTACATTACAGACCAGTACTGTTTTTTATCTTCATGACTATCAAAATTGTAGATTCACACTGAAGGCCTCAAAACTATGAATGAACTCATGTGGAATTATGTACGTACCTAAAAAAAAGTATGAAACAACTTTAAATATGTGTTATATTCTGGTTTTCTAAAGTAGCACCTTTTGCTCTGATACTGCTTCACTCTTGGCATTCTCTGGATGAGCTTCAACAGGACCTGAAATGGTCTCCAACAGTCTTGAAGGAGTTCCCATGATGCTTAGCACTTGTTGGCCCCTTCACTCTGTGGTCCAGCCCCAAAACCATCTGGACTGGGTTCAGGTCCAAAACCATCTGGACTGGGCTCAGGTCCGGTGACTGTGGAGGTCATCTGGCCCTGGCCCAGCACCATCACTCTCCATATTGGTCAAACAGCCCTTACACAGCCTGGTGCGGGTCTACAGTCAATAGTCCAAACTTTTGGTCTGTACTGTACCTAAACTAGATTATAGTCATTGAGTCAAAAACTGATACATACTATTCTGTGTATATAAATAAATAAACCATCCGTCTCAGTCTCTGGGTCACAGGACAGCGAAACCACAGCGATGAGACAATAAGACATTACAGAGTAGATGAAACAGAACCAGTCGTCTTGTCCCGTACGGAGACATTTGAAATCCACCTCTGGTTCTCCACCCACACGAGCAAAGTGAACCCTCTGTTCTTTTGTTTTCGTCTGCACTCGGGAGGCTACTTTATTCAGAGAGAGAGAGGGTTCGGCCCACTCACACAATCACCAGGGATAAAACAGGTCTAATTAGTTTGCTGAAGTTTTTAGGCGTGCAGAGAGGAGACATTAGTGCATTATTATGTATTTGTCCTGATGAAACTACATGGAGCAGATTATATGCTAACCACTCAGCCAGGGGACTAGTTCTAGCGTCGGGATTGCAGGGACACAGTTTAAATGCTGCGCCAAGCGAAATCAGAAAAGATGCTGTTGTGTCCTTTTGTTTAGTTCTGACTAGGTATCAGCAGGAGGCCAGTCCCTGTGCTCCTCAGAGTCCCAGCAGGAGGCCAGTCCCTGTGCTCCTCAGAGTCCCAGCAGGAGGCCAGTCCCTGTGCTCCTCAGAGTCCCACCAAGAGGCCCAGTCCCTGTGCTCCTCAGAGTCCCAGCAGGAGGCCAGTCCCTGTGCTCCTCAGAGTCCCAGCAGGAGGCCAGTCCCTGTGCTCCTCAGAGTCCCACCAAGAGGCCCAGTCCCTGTGCTCCTCAGAGTCCCAGCAGGAGGCCAGTCCCTGTGCTCCTCAGAGTCCCAGCAGGAGGCCAGTCCCTGTGCTCCTCAGAGTCCCACCAAGAGGCCCAGTCCCTGTGCTCCTCAGAGTCCCAGCAGGAGGCCAGTCCCTGTGCTCCTCAGAGTCCCAGCAGGAGGCCAGTCCCTGTGCTCCTCAGAGTCCCACCAAGAGGCCCAGTCCCTGTGCTCCTCAGAGTCCCAGCAGGAGGCCAGTCCCTGTGCTCCTCAGAGTCCCAGCAGGAGTCCAGTCCCTGTGCTCCTCAGAGTCCCAGCAGGAGGCCAGTCCCTGTGCTCCTCAGAGTCCCACCAAGAGGCCCAGTCCCTGTGCTCCTCAGAGTCCCAGCAGGAGGCCAGTCCCTGTGCTCCTCAGAGTTCAAGAAGGAGGCCACGAAGGAGGAAGAACCCAAAATGGAGGATTGACAAAATATAGGATTTATTTAAAAAAGAACTCAAACCAAAGACGACACAGGGACAAAAACACAATAGACCAACAACAAGGGGAGGAGGGCACAGGGTTTAAATAAACACAGGGACACAGGCAATCAACATGAACTAACTCTGAAATATATCCAAATGAAACCAGGAAAAGTTATAAAAAAGTCCACACCATAACAGGCCAGTCCCTGTGCTCCTCAGAGTCCCAGCAGACGTCCAGTCCCTGTGCACCTCAGAGTCCCAGCAGGAGGCCAGTCCCTGTGCTCCTCAGAGTCCCAGCAGGAGGCCAGTCCCTGTGCTCCTCAGAGTCCCAGCAGGAGGCCAGTCCCTGTGCTCCTCAGAGTCCGTTCATATGGCACTTCAATTCATTTCAATTCAATTTATTCTTGTATAAATCCCAACAGCAGTTTCTCAGAGGACTTCACAAAACTGTTGAAATCATAAACACAGATCAGAGAAACAAACAGTTCAAACACAAAAAATGCAGGGGTCTCCAACTTGTAGTTCAGGAGCTACTGGTAGCTCGCCAGCCCCTTTCAGGTAGCTCCCCAAAGGATTTAGAATTTAACAAATGATCTGACATTTTTAGTCATTATATGTCTATTATAAGTATAAATATAGGGTTATACAGTAGTATGGTATATTGCACATGTGTTCTCCACTCTCTTGTCGTTATAATTACAGAGATTTCTATTACGACTGCAAAAGGGAGTAGCTCTCTGCCTCTTCTGTTGTATAAAAGTAGCTCTCCGATTGGAAAAGGTTGGAGACCCCTTGTCCATGGGTGAAACCAATGTCCATGAATGTTTAGAATGATAGAGTGTCCTGGATCATCACCACAGTCCTTTTTGTCAGACCCACTAACGGTCAAACAGACCGAAACCCAGAGGGAGAAAACTGACAAACCTCGGGAAGAACCACACTGAGAGAGAATAGATCCAGGACTTAAGCTACAGAACGAGCACCAAGGCCACGCAGTAAACTAAAATGAACTAGAATATTGAAAGAAATTTGACACATGCAAGTAAAAAAAAAAAAAACATGGCACAGTGAGTTTTGAGCTTCCCCGAGTTACCTTGAAAGTGGAAAGTTCGTAATCAAAACATGCTCCAAGTTTCAATGTCACATGGCCTCGTCCTTGAGGAGCATCAACTTTTCAAACAACATATATTCTTGATCCTCTTTGTTAGTTCTTGAGATAGTTTTATATTGTTTATAAAGAGCTTCAAAAATACAAATCCTTTTGTGTTTTCTTTTCTTCACCCGTCACCAATTTGAAAAAAAAGCCGCATACGCCGCAGCAGAACATGAGATAAGATGGGATTTCAAGTTTGTGCGGCTGAAATCTTCTTGAAAATATGAGACAGGCTTCCTCTCTGACAATGTTCATCCATCCATAACTTTTTTTCCCTCTTTCTCCACCAACTGAGCCACTATCACCCCAAAAATGTGAAAATCCAGGTTAAAAACAAAACCTGGATTTGAGCATTGTGTTTGGCTGAGCAACTCAAGGATTGGATTAGTTATATTTAAATGCCTACTAGAGTTGTCTAGTGTGTGAACTCTGCTATACAATTAAACCTGCCTTGCCTTTGCCTAAATGACTATTAAACATATACACATACACAATTATCTGTGTAACCCGCTCCCACTGTGACGCACTGCACCATGGGGGACCGATCACGACACATTGAATTCCTGATGGGTTCGTGTCTCTGGCGATCTAGAAGTGTCCTGGCCTCTCGCACGTGTGATCGCCGCCGCCTCCGGTCGCTCCCTGGACTCCTCCTCTCTGATACGGTTAATGAGCTTTACTCCAGACGGAGGAGGCTCGTGCCGGTCCCCACGAGGCCGCACCTGAAGAGGATACTTAACCCCCATCTGCTTGAGGGCACACGGCTCCCTCAGACTGTTACTTGAATAAAACGGTGTTCTCTTCGGCGTGTACCATCGGGTCAAACGCAACAGAAGCAGTTGTGAATAATGGACAGATACAGGATCCAAACGCTTAGATCTTAGTTGATTCGAAATCGCAGGCAACAAAATAAATGTCACGTTTCTTTGAGCCACTTTGATGTTTAATACTTATTATATGCCACCGCTTTTTCCTGCATTTTGAAGGCTGCGGCTTATACATTTTAAATAGAACAGTAGATATTGCTCCTGATCTTTCTGCTTACTCTAACTCTTAATACTCACAGTAAAAAGACACATTACACTACATTTTTCAGTATCATAATGTGGCTTAGGTGCAGCTTATACACAAAAAATAACTACAAAATCCAATGGGCTCTATGCACGCACCACTTCCGGGTTTTAGCTACAACCCCACTTCACTTCCTGTTTGCGGGAAAACGGCTTGAGTTTCACTGGAGTTCAACAGTGGTTTACACGAGTTTCCCAAATAATGCTCAAACGGGAATTAAACTGTAGGATACTGGGCATTTTTGGGACACAGCAGTGCTCTTTGATTGTGCTGTCATTGTGTTTTTATAAAGTTAACTAATCTCCCTGAGTGGCCACAGTCAAAGCTCTACCTCAGAGAGAAAGCACAGCTACACTTTTGGGTCAGTCTCAGGTGAATGTATCAATCTAATTACCAAAAAACGTCACTAAAACTCTCCTAAATTCCATAGAATAGCAAAGACAGGAAGTGAACGGGCTGATCTGCGTAAACAGGAAATGACATCACGCCTCCCCGTGCATATAGCCCATTCCTTTCCATAATTGAATTGTGTCATGAACCTCAAAATGGACAGTAATTACAAGAACTATCCCTGTTATTTCAATCTTTCTTAAACCAGTTTTTTTACATCTGTGTTGGTGAGTCTTGTCAGGTTGAAAAGCTTTCTGGAAAATTCAAATCAACTTCCAGGCCGATCGTGTCTTGCCATCTCTAGATCTGAACCAATATTGCTTCACGTATTTCTTCTACAAAAACAGCTACTCCAAAATCTAAGAATTCTCCAAATGTAACGAACAATTTCAAAGAGCATTTCCCGTATTGACGTAAAAATCTTCACTCAGAGACTATTGTTCTTCTCGGTAAATTAGCGATCGCGTCCCACCGGCTAATCTCATCAAAAGACTGTGGCATTTATAGACCTGCTGTGTCCACTGAAAACAAACGCATTTTTTATTTTTAATGGCGTCCACATTTTTGACCTTTCATTGATTGAGAGATGTTCCGGTTCTCCTGCTGCGCTGACGGTTATTGCCACGTCCCATTGTGCGATCGCTGCTTTGACTTCTTAGCATCGGTTCAGGTTTGATTAAATACACAATCTGAACAAATATTAGCACTATTTTTTTTCTCCAACAAGTTCTCCTCGATTTGCATATAATAATCCTCCCGCTCGCTGCTTTTAATTCTGCACTTAGACAAAGGCAAGGACTTCAAAACGTGGGCTAAGACATTTTTTTGTAAGAACCAAGCTCTCGCTGAGATATGAGGGAAAAGGTTCACTCGCTCATTTGCATAGATCTCCAAATACTTAAATGTCCGTGTCGGGGAAAAGTCATCGGTGGAACGCTTCCGGATTCTTCAAAGCGAACCCAAGGTATGATTTTTTTAAACGGTTTAATGAATGCAGCCATCAAACGCACGTCTCTTGATCCAACCGCAGAGTTAAAGTCATTTCTGAATGCTGTTAAAAAGAAAACGGTTGCGGAGACTGGGAGAAGGAATAAAACGGGAGTCGTTCGTGGCAATTTCCGACAAGCACGCTATTGTCACGTTATGCTAATATCACGTTACGCTGCTGTCACCTCAACCGCTCGGCTAAATGTGTTCTGTTTTTAGTTATTGAGCTTGTAATAATTTTCAGACATTTTATGCAGATGTTTTGACAAATGTATTTTTATTTTACTCTTACAACTATTTTGTACCATGAGCCAAAGAAAATTCAGACTTTGTGACTTCCTGTTGCTTTCAATGGCAATAAAGATAATTATTATTCGGGTTCATTGCAATTCTCCCAGAGCAATCATGATATCTCATTCATTCATTCATTTTCTACCTTTTTAATAGTCCATTTCTGGGTTGGCGGGTGACAATGAGAGCTGCCACCCAATTCACAAAGCAGCAGTCTCTCTGATCCTCTGCAGGGGGTGGGTTCACAGGAAGATGGCTGCTACATCAGTGGTGCCACAGCCTCGGTCTTTCAGCAGGGGGCTTCAGGCAACGTGGGGTTAAGTGTCTTGCCCAAGGACACAACGACAGCAGACATTAGTGGGAGCAGTTGGAGTAGGTCCCGTGATGGGCTCAAATCCATTAAGTGCTAAATTAACTTGAATGATAGTAAACAGCTTGTAAACAGCTTGGTGAAAGGCTAACCAAATACTAACTGCTAAGAAAACAGTGTGTTGCTATGGTAACTAACATTCTCTCTCTCTCTCTTCTGGTGGAAAACGAACTGAAAGAGCGCTGAAGAAAGACGGCTTTAACATCCATCGAATGTTTTGTTGCAAAGCCATGGAATTTGAACTTTAACTTCAGACAAATGGAGCAGTCAAAATGAGTTAAGCGCAGATCGACTAACATTTAACGAGATTTCATGCAAATAATGACGTATAAATACACAAGATATAGATGTATGTATATAAAGAAGGACAAAAGCTGAGTCATTCCTCTTCCATAAACTAAAAGCCGCCAATTTGACTGCTGTGGGAGTTGTAGTGACAAGATCGGGGCAGAGCATAACATCTAAATGAACGTATTGCTCTCAGCAGCGACTCGACTGTATGTGAAACTATGAATCTTATTGTAATTCCACTTCTGGTGAAGAGGCTGCTATATTTCAGCCAATTAGAGAAGAGCGTGATAATTAAAAGAAGCCATGATTAATGAGTCTGCTCTTGTCTCTTTGTGACTTTCTGGCTGCTAAATGGATTTAACAACTTATTAAACATATTACTGTAATGAGGCAGTGTAATTAAGACAATACAACGGGACTTTTGAAAAACCGATACATAATAATTTGGATTCTAAATGCGGATGACAACTTTGACAATTCATGCAGAAGTTAAACAAAACAACTGTCATTCACACTGTTGCACAATAGAATTCTCAGGGTATGCTTCGGATTAGCATTTTAGGTCTCAAACACGTACAGATGTGTGATTACAACTTTATATTTCTTGCACAGGCGACAGTGGCTCAGTTGGTAGAGCATTGGCCCTTGAGCCTGAAGGTTGTGGGTTTGAGCCCACCACAAGACCTACTTCACAACTCCCACTGATGTCTGCTGTCGTTTGCCTGAAGCTTCCACTGAAAGATCTCAGCTCCTGTGGACTCACCACCTGCAGGAGGATCAGTGAGGGGCTGGTGCTATGTGTACTGGGTGCAGCTCTGACTGCCACCCCCCGACCCAGAAATGGATTAAGGAGAAGAAGAAGAAGGATGGAGGGATTTCTTGCACCAGAATACAGATATATAGATGTTTTACTTGCCTCTTTTTTATGCAAAAGCTAGAGATGTTATAATTGCTTATTTATTATTCTGAAATAATGGATTGTATACTTGCTTCTAAAGCTATATTTTTATTATTTCATTAATCTTAATGTTGTTTTGAGGCTAAACGTCGATGTCATCTAGCTTCTCCGATTCAAGGCACACAGACATGCACACACACATGCCTTTGAATTCTCAAGGTAAGCACACTTCCGATTAGCATTTTAGCTAGCACACAACATGCATACTGCCAGTCAGCACGTACAGAAGCAGCAGGTAACATAGGTGCAGGTGTTCATGCTGTATATTGTGGTGAGCATATGTAAAGCAGATCAGATCAAAAAGCCAAATCAGCAGAGTCGAACTACAAGCAGCACATTTATATTCTGTTTGATTGCGCTGCTGCCGCCTCTGATCTGGCGTGCAGACGGCGGTCATGGGAACGCCGGCTCGGGCTTTGATCGTCTGTTTTGTTGAGTTTTATATCAGAGGAATCAGAAGCAAGAACTCTGGGAGCTGAACCGGACCTGTGTGGGCGGCAGAGTGGACCGTGGAGGAGGGATAAAGTCTGCGCATGTGTGAGGAAACTGAGGACATAACCCAGAGTGCACTTCTGCGCCGTGAAAAATGTCTCAACTTTGGCCAAAATGTATCTGAATTTCGGCCCATTCTGACTGCCTTCAAACCAGATTTTCCAATGGGACAAAGCAGAATGATCTAAAAAGATACATTCCCGGGTGGAATGAGAAAATGTAAAAGTTTGAAATGAAACTCCATGGCTTTGTCCCATTGGAAAGTCTTGTTTTAACACCGTCAGAATTTACTTTTTTGATGATTTCACTGATTCTCAAGACCCACAGGATATTACTTCCTAAAACTATGTGAAATATGAAACCAGATTCTGAAAGACTGGATTGTCTACTTTCATCAGCAAAAATAAGTTTGTTTCTAGATATTTTTATTGTCCTGTTACCCCCAGTCGAAAAGAGGGTCTCAGACAAATACGTCAATGGCAAAAAACACTAGAATCAAGCATTATTATCCATATTTTATCATCTCTTGTGCATTTCCTTCAACAGACATGTTTAAATAGTCTTTGTGTCACTTTATTTGCAAGGTGAAGAGCGCACATCTGTACTGTAAAAGTTTCGTGCTTCTCTCAATAAAGCGGCAACAGGAAGTTAAAGGCAAAGAACACGTTTAACAGGAAGTGCCAAAATAAAACGAGGGCTCTTCAATATAAAACATACGCAGACACAATTTAAAGTGCATAACACAAAAACAAAGTAAATAATTACAGTTATGAGAACACTGATATTAACAAAAAGTAAGAATGTCATGTTTATTTATATACTGTGGCCCATTTTACAGAGCAAGGTCAGCCAATGTTCAGAATCCAGATTTTTTTCCCATTCTCTCACGGTGATGGAGGAAGCTAGACGTCGAACACACTGGTCCATCAAAGCCTCTGACCAAACACCATCCATTCATTCATTCACACACACATTCAGGCCTATCGTGCATGTTTTTAGTGGTGGGGGAAACCGGAGCACCTGGAGGAAACGTGGAAATGGGGAGAACATGTAAACTCAACTCAGAAAAAGCTCTGTTCCGACAGAGATTCGAACCCAGGGCCCGTGCCGACCAAAAACCGAATTTTCAGATTGGACAAAGCCATTAGATCTTGTTCCAATCAATTTTGCTTTGTCCCGTCGGCAAATCTTGTTTAAAGACAGTCTGAATGTGCTCAAATGAAGATACATTTAACCAAATTTGTGCATTTTTGACTTATTTTTCATCACCATTTGGCAGTAACAGCTAAAAAACCACAAATTACCACTGTTTTTACTGGTGAAAGATTGAATCGAAAATTTAAACGAAAAACATAATCCCTATTTTTACTAAAAGTCAAACGATAATGTTGATTTGAAAACAAAAGCCTGATCAGCAAATGTTTAACCGTGTTTTAGAGTAATAATAATAATACATTTTATTTAAAAGTGCCTTTCAAAACACCCAAGGACACTGTACAGGCTTAATAAAAACATTAAAAACAGGAGCAACAGAATAAAACAGCAGTGCATTATGGGATGGTGGGTGCGTGTGTGTTAGGTGGGGTAGGACGGTCTGAACAGAAGGGTTTTGAGTCTGGATTTGATCTCTAATGCTCTAACATGAAGAAAATACTTTATCGAATTGATTTAGTAATACTTGTCAATCTATAGCACAATTACAATAGTAAGTAAGTAAGTAAGTTTTTATTTATATACCGCCTTTTCACTGCAGATCTGAGTCTCAAAGCGGTTTACAATTGTTAATTTTGGGCATTTGTCTCTCTCTCCACACAGAGATGGGAGGGGCCAGTACAGGAGGCGCATGTTAGAACCATTGGACATATTTTTAGTGGTAGGGGAAACCGGAGTACCCGGAGGAAACCTACGCAGACACGGGGAGAAAATGCAAACTCCACTCAGAAAGGCCCTGGTCCGACCGGGATTCGAACCCAGGACCTTCTTGCTGAGAGGCGAGAGTGCTATCCACTCAGCCACCGTGCCGCAATATAATATGTCTGTTTTCTGATAGTTCCCCTTTAATCCTAATATATTTTATTATTAAGGGGCGACAGTAGCTCAGTTGGTAGAGCATTGGCCTTTGAGCCTGAAGGTCGTGGGTTCGAGCCCACCGTAAGACCTACTTCACGACTCCCACTGATGACTGCTGTTGTTATGTCCTTGGGCAAGACACTTGACCCCGCTTTGCCTGAAGCTCCCACTGAAAGATCTCAGCTTCTGTGGACTCACCACCTGCAGGAGGATCAGTGAGGGGCTGGTGCAGAGGGACTGAGGAGGAGCAGAGTGAGTGAGGAGGAGCAGAGAAGGAGAAGAGGGACTGAGAGGAGCAGAGGGACTGGGAGGAGCAGAGGGAGTGAGGAGGAGTAGAGGGAGTGAGAAGAGCAGAGGGAGTGAGGAAGAGCAGAGGGACTGGGAGGAGCAGAGGGACTGAGGAGGAGCAGAGAGAGTGAGGAAGAGCAGAGGGACTGAGAGGAGCAGAGTGACTGAGGAGGAGCAGAGGGACTGAGAGGAGCAGAGGGACTGAGGAGGAGCAGAGGGAGTGAGAGGAGCAGAGGGACTGAGGAGGAGCAGAGGGAGTGAGAGGAGCAGAGGGACTGAGGAGGAGCAGAGGGACTGAGGAAGAGCAGAGGGAGTGAGAGGAGCAGAGGGACTGAGGAGGAGCAGAGGGACTGAGGAGGAGCAGAGGGAGTGAGGAGGAGCAGAGGGAGTGAGAGGAGCAGAGGGACTGAGGAAGAGCAGAGGGAGTGAGAGGAGCAGAGGGACTGAGGAGGAGCAGAGGGAGTGAGAGGAGCAGAGGGACTGAGGAGGAGCAGAGGGACTGAGGAAGAGCAGAGGGAGTGAGAGGAGCAGAGGGACTGAGGAGGAGCAGAGGGACTGAGGAGGAGCAGAGGGAGTGAGAGGAGCAGAGGGACTGAGGAGGAGCAGAGGGAGTGAGAGGAGCAGAGGGACTGAGGAGGACAAGAGGGAGTGAGGAGTTTACACATGGTAAGACCAGACGTACATGTAGGAACTGATCATGGACCAGAGTTTACACATGGTAAGACCAGACGTACATGTTGGAAATGATCATGGACCAGAGTTTACACATGGTAAGACCAGACGTACATGTTGGAAATGATCATGGACCAGAGTTTACACATGGTAAGACCAGACGTACATGTAGGAACTGATCATGGACCAGAGTTTACACATGGTAAGACCAGACGTACATGTTGGAACTGATCATGGACCAGAGTTTACACATGGTAAGACCAGACGTACATGTTGGAAATGATCATGGACCAGAGTTTACACATGGTAAGACCAGACGTACATGTTGGAACTGATCATGGACCAGAGTTTACACATGGTAAGACCAGACGTACATGTAGGAACTGATCATGGACCAGAGTTTACACATGGTAAGACCAGACGTACATGTTGGAAATGATCATGGACCAGAGTTTACACATGGTAAGACCCAGACGTACATGTAGGAACTGATCATGGACCAGAGTTTACACATGGTAAGACCAGACGTACATGTAGGAACTGATCATGGACCAGAGTTTACACATGGTAAGACCAGACGTACATGTAGGAACTGATCATGGACCAGAGATTACACATGGTAAGACCAGACGTACATGTAGGAAATGATCATGGACCAGAGTTTACACATGGTAAGACCAGACGTATATGTAGAGAAATGATCATGGACCAAAGTTTATACATAGTAAGACCAGACGTACATGTAGGAGATGATCATGGACCAGAGTTTACACATGGTAAGATCCAGAAGTACATGTAGGAACTGATCATGGACCAGAGTTTACACATGGTAAGACCAGACGTACATGTAGGAAATGATCATGGACAAGAGTTTACACATGGTAAGATCCAGACGTACATGTAGGAACTGATCATGGACCAGAGTTTACACATGGTAAGACCAGACGTACATGTTGGAACTGATCATGGACCAGAGTTTACACATGGTAAGACCAGACGCACATGTTGGAAATGATCATGGACCAGAGTTTACACATGGTAAGTCCAGACGTACACGTAGGAGATGATCATGGACCAGAGTTTACACATGGTAAGACCAGATGTATATGTAGAGAAATGATCATGGACCAGAGTTTACACATGGTAAGACCAGACGTACATGTAGGAACTGATCATGGACCAGAGTTTACACATGGTAAGACCAGACGTACATGTAGGAGATGATCATGGACCAGAGTTTACACATGGTAAGACCAGACGTATATGTAGAGAAATGATCATGAACCAAAGTTTACACATGGTAAGATCCAGACGTATATGTAGAGAAATGATCATGGACCAGAGTTTACACATGGTAAGACCAGACGTACATGTAGGAGATGATCATGGACCAGAGTTTACACATGGTAAGACCAGACGTATATGTAGAGAAATGATCATGGACCAAAGTTTACACATGGTAAGATCCAGACGTACATGTAGGAACTGATCATGGACCAGAGTTTACACATGGTAAGACCAGACGTAAATGTTGAAAATGATCATGGACCAGAGTTTACCCATGGTAAGACCAGACGTACATGTAGGAACTGATCATGGACCAGAGTTTACACATGGTAAGACCAGACGTACATGTTGGAACTGATCATGGACCAGAGTTTACACATGGTAAGACCAGACGTACATGTTGGAAATGATCATGGACCAGAGTTTACACATGGTAAGACCAGACGTATATGTAGAGAAATGATCATGGACCAAAGTTTACACATGGTAAGATCCAGACGTACATGTAGGAACTGATCATGGACCAGAGTTTACACATGGTAAGACCAGACGTAAATGTTGAAAATGATCATGGACCAGAGTTTACCCATGGTAAGACCAGACGTACATGTAGGAACTGATCATGGACCAGAGTTTACACATGGTAAGACCAGACGTACATGTTGGAACTGATCATGGACCAGAGTTTACACATGGTAAGACCAGACGTAAATGTTGAAAATGATCATGGACCAGAGTTTACACATGGTAAGACCAGACGTACATGTTGGAAATGATCATGGACCAGAGTTTACACATGGTAAGACCAGACGTATACATAGAGAAATGATCATGGACCAGAGTTTACACATGGTAAGACCAGACGTACATGTAGGAAATGATCATTGACCAGAGTTTACACATGGTAAGACCAGACGTACATGTTGGAAATGATCATGGACCAGAGTTTACACATGGTAAGACCAAACGTACATGTTGGAACTGATCATGGAACAGAGTTTACACATGGTAAGACCAGACGTATACATAGAGAAATAATCATGGACCAGAGTTTACACATGGTAAGACCAGACGTATACATAGAGAAATGATCATGGACCAGAGTTTACACATGGTAAGACCAGACGTACATGTAGGAAATGATCATTGACCAGAGTTTACACATGGTAAGACCAGACGTACATGTTGGAAATGATCATGGACCAGAGTTTACACATGGTATGACCCAGCCGTACAGAGAAATGATGATGTTTCCAGATGGTTAGGCCCAGGCCGGAGCAGAGGGCCTGGTTCTTGGATGTGGCGTTCGCAGTGAGAGTTGGCGGAGAAGGCCCTGGCGTAGAAAAGGTAATCTGTGGATGTTTTGAGAGCGGGACATGGCAAAGCGAGGGCGACATCTGTGACTGCCTTTTGTGAGTGATTCGTTCTGCAGAATGAAGGCCAACAGGAGGTTAGTCAGAACCACATTTTCTCTAATTGGTGAATAAACCAGACGTTGTTGACAACTAATTAAAAGTACTGCTTGAAACTTTGAGAGAAGACAAAAACGAATACATCCTGTTCAAATACAACCAATGGTAATGATAGTGGTGGGGGGAAGTATTTTGTTTACTATCGCAATATGGAATTAAATAATTATCTAACGTTTGTGTTTTCTCTGAGTTTACTCTGGTCATTTCCATCTGAGGTTAATGTCACTCTTATGTCTTTATTGTGTGAAAATTTAACTTATGTGAAGGGATTTCTCCATTCAAGTGAAGGTCGCCCATTTTTCTCTACTGTGATATTTATGATTTAATTTGAATGCCTTGTGTGGTCTTGTTTTGACAATCCCTTTGAGTTGCTTTGCCTTTTAAAATGAAAAAAAAAAAAAAACATTGTGAAAGTAAGTACGTCCTATTTATTTATATACCGCCTTTCACAGACCAGAGTCACAAAGCGGTTTACAATTGATATTATTGGGCATTAGTCTCTCGCTCCACACAGTACACAGAGTACAGGAGGCACATGCCAGACCTATTGTACATGTTTTGCGTGGTAAGGGAAACCGGAGCACCCGGAGGAAACCTACACAGACACAGGGAGAACATGCAAACTCCACTCAGAAAGGCCTTGTTCCACTCAGCCACCGTACCGCCCACAGTTTAGTAGAAACAACTAAACTACTGTGTATATTTTTGTGATGTATTTGTTATAACTCAAGAAAATACGCTGATATGTATCTAAATATAAATAATTTTGGCACATGCTTTACCTAGAATCACGAAAGTAAGTAATCTATTCAAACGTTTAGCCCCATTTGGCCGTTTATTGAACATTTATCGTCTCATTCTTCTGCAATGGCCTTTCCATCATCATATATCAACACCTTTTATTATCAAAATACATATAACGCATTGAGCAAAATGTCTGGAAAAATATGTACCAACTAAATGACATGATGACCCCCCCGCCCATTTAGTATTCTTAATTACTGCTGGTATTGTTGAGGTTACTGATACAGCTCTTTTCTACAGTACATTACATTTTTATCCCTTTATTAATTCATTTCTGGGTCATGGGGGTGTCAATCAGAGCTGCTCTCAATGCTCATAGCTCCAGTCCCTCGCTGATCCTCCTGCAGAGGGTCCACAGCAAGATGGCTTCTCCGTCGATGAAGACAACGGCCTTCATATTCCAGCGGGGGCTTCAGGCAAAGAGGGGTTAAGTGTCTTGCCCAAGGGCACAACGACAGCAGACGTCAGTGGGAGCAGTTACAGCGAGAGGGATACAAGCATACTCTTTGATTACATAAAACTACACACATGCATCTCACTTTGATAAGCAACGCATGAAGGTTCAAACCCAACTTTCTAAAATCCACACATTTTGTACAAGCCTTTGAAAAACATGACGATTCCCAACTTTCTTCCACTTGAGCCGACTCTGTGTGTACTTTTTAAAACCCTCCCCATCAGCAAGAATAAAGCAGTGTGTTTACAGACGCTCATTAGCGGAGGCCATCTTGTCAAGCCGGCCCTCTCACGCTTGTTTCAACCGGAGTTTTTTTATTTATTTTTTTAAGTTGCGTCTCTGCGATGCGGGTCGTGCCGGGCCTCGCTAATTGGGTGTCAAGAGGATTCTAAATTTCTCCACTCCCACGCACCAAACATATACTAGTCTCTGTCTTTCTTATGCTTACCCCTTCTCACCCCCCTAACACACACACACACACATACACTTGCGCACACACACATAGGCATGCAACAAAAAGCAAAATATGTCTCGTGTTAATTGGTCAAGCCGCTCTCCCCGTGGCCACACTAAGAAATTCGCCGGTGAAGTACAGTAGCTGAAGCTAATAGGGATTTGTGAGGCAGCGTGGTGGAGGAGAGAGGAGAGTACAATCTGCGTGGTCATACGGCTACAGCAAGAAGTTTGATTTTGTTTTGAAGAGGGTGACGTTAAAGTGTTGAAGTCATGTTATGAGATAAACGCTGCTGTGCCAAGAAACTTTACTCCAGTCTGATCTGAACGGTAACGTGTCGTGATGATGGGACAAAGCCTCTGTCTCCTGTGCACCTGTGGACTGGTATCCCCCCGCCTGGACTGGATTCGTGGGCAGTAGCCACCTCCCAGCCTGGGAACCTCCTCAGACGAATGCCCACAGTTGAAACCGCTTTGTGACTCTGGTCTGTGAAAGGTGGTATATAAATAAAGATTACTTAATTCCTTACTTACTTACAGCCTCAGTCCTGGATCTACAGCCTCAGTCCTGGATCTACAGCCTCAGTCCTGGATCTTCAGCCTCAGTCCTGGATCTACAGCCTCAGTCCTGGATCTACAGCCTCAGTCCTGGATCTACAGCCTCAGTCCTGGATCTACAGCCTCAGTCCTGGATCTACAGCCTCAGTCCTGGATCTACAGCCTCAGTCCTGGATCTACAGCCTCAGTCCTGGATCTACAGCCTCAGTCCTGGATCTACAGCCTCAGTCCTGGATCTACAGCCTCAGTCCTGGATCTACAGCTTAATTCCTGGACCTACAGCTTCATTCCGGAACTAAAGCCTCAGTTCTGGGTCTAGAGCCTCAGTCCTGAATCTATACAGTTCGACCGTGGGAGTAGATCCCTCTCTCAAAGTGGACCTCCAAGATTATCTGACTTGAGAAGAAGAGTTTCTTGCCGACGCAGGTGGGTCTGAAAACAACGATGATCCAGAACATTCATGGTCACACAGCGGTCATCCTGCTCCTACAGACCAATGGCTCTATGTGTTTGTTATCATTGCATTTCCTCTGTTTGATTCTCTGATCTGTCGTTAGGGCGGGCAAAGTCCTCCCAAAAGACTGCTGTTGAAATGTAAGGCTATCCAAAAATACATTTAATTGAAATATTAGAAAATTCTACATTGGTCTAGATGGACGGACGGCAGACAGAAAAACCAAGTGTTCAGTAGCAGCAGAAAAGAAAAAGAAAAGAGATCAGTCTAAAAAGCTGACAATAGTAATGAAAAGAAACAGCCCTTCATGTCACGGTCTAGAGTCCATTCCAAGATTATCAACACGATCGATCTCTTTATTCACTCTTGATCGGTCGTTGCAGACGTACCAAGCAAAAGGTGAATGTTTTACCACCTGGACTATTGTCTTCCTCGTCACAATAATACATCTTTTCGATTCAATAGAAGCCACTTTATTTATGATTGTCATAAAACGGAGAGGACGAGAGCCGTGTCTGACCTACCGCTCCTCTGCTCTCTCTGTGACAGCCGCTCGCATCATTATCACCACTTTATCCACTTCTCGGGAAATTGCCTTTTGCCGCGAAATTAATGTCGGGCATTTGTACAGTGACAGCCGCCGCCGAGTACATCTGTAATCTCTCTCGCAACTCTCTCTGGCTGCGTTGCCAGAGGACAGGGGGCCAAAACAAATGGGAGCGCGACAAACGACGCCATCAATACTGGCAACGCGGTTTCAAGGACGCGAGAAGAGGACGCTCAGAATGTCCACAGATTTTTGGATGTAATTGGTGTTTGGTTCTGGGGACGAGGTAGAGTTTGGTTTAATGATCCAGTTGTTCATTTTCAGATTCAGATTCAGATTCATTTTATTCGCCATTTGCAGTAACACTACATTGGAATACATTAGTAAAAGTTCTCAGGGCACTGTTAAAAAGTCTGGATTGATAAATCCAGGACAGGAAGTTCACAGCCTACAGTCCTCTTTGCAGAGCGGAGCACCTTGTTTAGAGCTCTCTTTTCTTTATCTGTGATGTTACCGAACCACACAGACATAGAACTAACAAGTAAACTCTCAATGGTGCAGCGATAAAAGTTCAGCAGAATCTTAGAGTTAGTGGTAAATTCTCTAAGTTTCCGCAGGAAGTAGAGACGCTGACGAACTTTCTTTACGACCCGGTCAGTGTTTTTAACCCATTTCAGGTCATTAGACAGAGTTAGACCCAGAAACTTACACTCCTCTACAATCTGCACTTGGGAGTTATCGATTGCGACAGGCAAATGAGAACTATTGCGACTAAAATCAAAGACCAGTTCACATGTTTTGGATGCGTTCAGCTGGAAGTTGTTAGCCTTCAACCCCTTTATTATTCCATTTCTGTGTTGGGAGGGTGGCAATGAGAGCTGCCACCCAATGCTCAGAGCACCAGTCCCTCCTGATCCTCTGCAGGTGGTGGCAGGTGGCTGCTTGACGCAGTTTTGTTCTTTCAGCAGGGGCTTCAGGCGACATGGGGTTAAGTTTCTTGCCCAAGGACACAATGACAGTAGACATTTGTGGGAGCAATACAATACAATACAATTTATTCTTGTATAGCCCTAACAGAAGTCATCTCAGAGACTTAACAAAACCATTGAAATCACCAACACAGATCATAGAATCAACAGTTAAAACACATAAAGAATATAAAGCACATGTTGATAAATGTCATACATGTAGAATGTTAAAGTGTCCTGATCATCACCACATCCTTTCTGTTGGACACTAACTGCCCAACAAGACCGTCCTGCATCGACAAGGAAAAACTCAAAAGAAAACCCAGTGGGAAAGACCCATGGTTTGAGAAAGGGTGTCATGGTTCTGCCTGTTTTGCTCTCTCCCTTGCATCCTGTTATCTTTTCAGAGCTTGTGTGAGACAGGGGCGTGGCCGGTCTCTGCTGGGGGGCGTGGCTTGTATCTGTTTGGCTGCTGACGACCGACACCTGCAGCACCCTGGTCTTCTCATCACTCCTCTTGCAGCTAATTCCGTCATATCGGTTGTTCTTATCGGTACTTCCTGCTTTTATCTCCAGATCCTGTGCTCGTCCAGTCCTGGTCTGTTCGCTCTGCTTCCCGGCAGGCCTGCTCCCTGTCTCCACTACTCCATCCTTTTTTGGGTATTTTTTCATTTTTGTTTAATTAAAGACCTCTGCTTTTGGGTTCAAAACTCACCCGTAACAGAATGCAGGACATCCGGGCAGCGATGGTCCATGTCTGTGTAGGGTAATAATATTACAGTAAGCTATAAATTGTAAGAGAAGAATAGTGCGGCTAGTCTCCAAGTCAGAGGCTGGCCGTCCTATTCGAGTGGTGGGATCTGCTTTAATTTTTAGGGCACCAGCAGTTACTTCTGCACAGATCCAAACCAACTTTGCCTCGAGTCAGTCTTATAATCAAAAGGTAGTGAATGCGTAAATCGGCCAGGGATGTCCGAAATCTAACAACACGACTCTGATAGGATGGAGTTAAAGAAAAGGGGTTTTATTGATTTCAAAAATGAAGGTAAAAATATAACGAAGGGAATTTCTGGTCACATTAAAACAGAAGTGGTATACATTTCATTCAAATCACACATTTAACAAAGAACTCTTACTTTGTAGGAGCGTAGAGGATGGAGAAAGGATTTGGGTTGGGGAATCAGCCCACGTGATTTCTTTGTCTGGGCAGGCGGGAGGTACGAAGCCAGCGAGTCTGGTCCAGCTGCTGATCCACGCGTATACAGCCCAGTCCGGAATGGGTTGCGTGCGTAGAGTCCAGAGCCAGGGAAAGAGGCTGGTGATGGAACAGTTCATAAGGTCCCGAGCCAGAGGAGAGGGTTGTGTTGCGGAGTAGAAGGCCCGATGCGTGCAGGCGCGGCCGTAGTAGGAGACACGTGCCGCGGGACGCAGAAGGGCAGGGAGGCTGAAATAGTGATTTCAGGAGAAGACAAGAGGAAGTTCTGTTGCATTGTGCGTGTTTATATTGACTCCTGGAGGGGGCGCGTCCTTTGGCGTCATCCATGTGCGACAACCTCCTCACAACAGGCGGTTTATCAAGGAAAAACACACAAGATCAATACAGCCACCCATAACACATCGTACAAACACACACCGCATTTCATTACTCGACAATGATACACACATGAAGGACACGGTGCGGACGTATGGGGATAATACTACAAGAGATGGTCCGCGCACTGTCCGTGCCGGGTGTAATAATGTTCAATGTCCACTGGGGGGCGCCATAACGCCGCGGGTGAGTCTCAGAGTGTCCAGGAATGCCCGGGATTGAGAGCAGATGGATGATCTCTGATCTCTGCCAGGCAGAAAGGCACAAAGATATTTGTTCTGGGGCTCAGTTTATGGCCTTGGTTGACACTTATGGTCACGGTGACTGATGATGTCCTCTGGTTGACCTGGTCGTCTCTTAGATGTGCGTCAAGATGGGTCATGCTCGGAGGGCATGTTTACACATCTTAGCTGTCCTTTAATTCACCTTACATCTGTGTGACTGTATTGTGTTTTAAGTGTATTGTCAATGCAGTCTGTGAATCCAATAATAAATATCCTCAGAAACATAATCAATTAATCTGGAATTTAGAGAATTTAATGACAAACCGAACACATTTCCAAACAGGTCAGATTTCTATTACAAAACTTCCAATATCAGAATGACCACGTTCTTCCATCTTGTAATGTCATCGAGGAAAACTGCAGAACTACAGTGCACCCAGTCACGGGAAGAACATGCAAAACCAACAAAACCTTCTCTCCTGTCGGGATCATACACTGAGCATGTCAATACACTGTCGACGCAGCATGAGGCGCTCGTCAGTGTTCCGCACGACAAACATTCTTGTTCTTTCAGTCATTGATCCTTTGCCACGTCTCTTTTCACCTCTCCCAGCTTCGGGGAAAAGTACGTCAAAAAATAAATAATAAAAAAAATGAGGGAACTTCTCCATGCTTGCTGTTTCCTAGCAACCTCTCTCCTCTCTCGGGAGCGATGTCGTCCCTGTCTGGGCCATTTGTAAAGCAGAGGGGAAGTTTATATGGGCTTATGTACAGTATGGGAGTGGGGCGTGGCTGTGTTTACCTGCTGTAGTGTGTGTGTGTGTGTATATATTTAGAGGATGGCGCACAGGCCGAGGTAAAAGCTCTCCAGACGGCAAGGCGGCTTTTTCAAACATCCAATTAGGGCCGCAAACGTGTCACCCATAAATCACCCGAGCTCGAGAGGCTGCTGCAGTAGATGAGGGACTGTTTGAGAGCCGCAGACAGAGCAGAGAGACTTCTTTATTCAAAAAATAAAAAATAAATATAAAATACACACTACGTACCTCATGAGAGCGGGCTCCCAAACTGTATGTAACTTCTATTGTATATCCAGGCCATCTCAATTCAGAACAATAACACATGTACAAGTGGTTCTGGGTGTGTTTCTCTGAGGAATTCAGGCAAAGCTGAGGCTGGCGCGGACATTCGTGAAGAGAAAAGGCATTAAAAGATGCGGTAGATAACTTTCAATCCATCCATCCATCCATCCATTTTCTACCCTTTAATCCATTTCTGGGTCAGGGGGGTGGCAGTCAGAGATGCCACCCAAGTCTCATAGCACCAGCCCCAACTTTCAATCCACATTAAAAATTAAGATCAATATGTCGGTGTCAACTTTAGCATAATAAAGAAGCAAGTATCAAACCTATATATTACATACAGCAATTAATTTAACATTATTTGGTCTCAAAAGCCAATGACCCAGCCCAAATGATCAAATATTTACTTTTTTTTTTAACCAGCAAAAGACACTTATTTTCTAAGCCATATTAACATGCTGCAGTTTGATTGTGTTTCATATCTCACAATCTCACTTATATCCGCACGTACAGGCAGCGTATACAAAACAAATCTATGAGCATTTATAGCCGGAGGATCTACTCCTGGAGAGATTAGTGTGTGAGACATTCACTTCTGCTGCTGTTTCCAGTTTCATTATAGCTTCTTTATTCTCTTCTTTCACAGGTACTTTGCTCTTCATTTCTCTATTTGAGCTACTGTAAGGGTATACATTTCAGCAGCCTCTCTCTCTCACTCTGGTCCCTCTCTTGTATCTCTCTAGTCTCTCTTAGGTCTCTCCCTGGTCTTTCTCTAATCTCTCTCTCAGGTCTCTCTCTCTCTTTCTGGTCTCTGGTGTTTCTCTTTGGTTCCTCTCCTGTCTCTCTCTCTGGTCTATCTCTAGTCTCTCTTTGGTCTCTTTCTAGTCTCTCGCTCTGGTCCCTCTCTGGTCTTTCTCTAATCTCTCCCTCTGGCCTCTCTTTCTGGTCTCTCTTAGGTCTCTCTCTCGTCTCTTCCTGGTCTCTCTCTCTCTGGTCCCTCTCAAGTATCTCTCTAGTCTCTCTTAGTCTCTCACTGGTCTTTCTCTAATCTCTCTCTGGTCTCTCTATCTGCTCTCATCTCTCTGGTCTCTCTACCCCCTCTTTTCCTGGTCTCTCTGGGCCCTCTCATCTCTCTGGTCTCTCTACCCCCTCTCTTCCTGGTCTCTCTCTGGGCCCTCTCATCTCTCTGGTCTCTATACCCCCTCTTTTCCTGGTCTCTCTGGGCCCTCTCATCTCTCTGGTCTCTATACCCCCTCTCTCTCTGGTCCCTCTCTTGTATATCTCTAGTCTCTCTTAGGTCTCTTCCTGGTCTTTCTCTAATCTCTCTCTGGTCTCTCTACCCCATCTCTCTCTCTCTGGTCTCTCTCTGTCTAGTCTCTCTCTCTGTATCCCTCTCCACTTCTCTCCTTGAGCTCGGCGTCTACATTTCATCAGGCAGAGAGCGCGGGGAGAGTGTGACAGGCCGTTACCTGGTGCTAAGCTGAAAAAGAGGTCTGTGTCACGACTATCAGCGGCTGCTTCTCGCCTCCCGCTGGACTGTGGTAATGGAAAGTGGGGATTTGAGCTCGCTATGGGCTAAAGCTGTCGCCTTTGGTCTCTGAATATCGCCGGTGCGTGGAGGAGGAGTGCTGGCTTTTTGGGGCTGATGGAATAATAACCATATCGACGTCAACCTGATGAAGGAATGGAGGGTATGATTAGGCTCGGCGGGTTTCCGAGTATACTGTGGAGGATTTTGCTGTGGAAAATTGAATGTGGACTGAAATGACGGAGAATGTAATCAGGCAAAACATCTCTGATCACTCACAGATGCATTAGCCGTTCTCTTTTTGACATGTGCAAGGAGTGGAAGCAGAATTTATTTGTCCAAATAAAAGCGTGGATTCTCAGAGTACAGCGGTCGCTAAATGCTTCAGAGAGTGTTTAAGAGAAATGACAGCCAACATGACAGTTTATTCAAAGTCAGGAGAAGAGTTTTGTGGTTTGTGTGCACTGTTGTGACTAGGACTATCACAGTGGCTTTACCGATGGTAGAACATTGGCCTTTGAGCCTGAAGGTTGTGGGTTCAAGCCCCCCACAAGACCTTCAGGATGATCAGTGAGAGGCTGGTGCTCTGTGAGTGGCATCTCTGACTGCCACCCCCTGACCCAGAAATGGACAAAGGGGAAGAACATGGATGGAGGAATGGACTATTGCAGTCTCTCTCTCTGGTATCTCCATCCATCCATTTTCTTCCGCTTCATCCGTTGCCGGGTTGCAGGGGCAGTGGTCTAAGCAGAGACGCCCAGACTTCCCTATCCACACACTATCTGGTATCCTATCTGGTATCCTATCTGGTATCTATCAGGTCTATATCCGTTCTATCTCTGGTCTTGCTCTCTGGTCTCCCTCTGGCCACTTTTTCCGGTGTCCCTCTCTCTCTGGTCTCTCTCTCTGGTCTCTCTCTTTGGTCTCTCCATCTTGTATCTCTTTGGTCTCTCCATCTTGTATCTCTTTGTTCTCCCTCTGGTCTCCTGCTGGTCTCTCCCTCTTGTATCTCTCTCTTTGGTCTACCTTTGGTCTCTCTCAATGGTTTACCACTGGTCTCAATTCAGCACTCGTGAGTCCCGGTGGTTTGAAAAGTGTATAAAGCTTTTCGAGGAGTTTTAGCTTCAAACATTATGGATTTCAGATATTGCGGGTTACTTCTAGTACAATGATCCCTCCATTTTTAGTTTAAGATGTGAGAGTCCTTAGTACTGTATGAATGCAAGAATAAAGCCACTGTTCTGGTCTTGAATGATCAACCAAATGTGTTTCTCCACAGAACAGCAGGTGTGTGGCACATTGTTCTAAGTTATTGCATGCTTATGTGATA